AAACTAACCACAGCAGTGTGTTGCATTTTATGATCTCACAATCAGTTTTAAGTAAATTAAGTAAAGTGCTTCAGTTAATGTTACTTTCCAGCACTGTTTTTACCACCACGGCTGATTTTACCTTAAAGTCATCAGCAGTGGCGCTCTCTACTGTTCCAAAGGTGTTTCTGTTGGACCAGTTTCCATCTCCATCAGGCAGGTCAGCATTGTTGCCCTGCTGGCTGGACCAGCGATCGCCGGCTGTGCACCTTCCGTAAATGCTGTTCTCATGGACGCTCGCCACCAGCGTCCATCCGCCTCCAGCTGTGGTCATGTCACAGTAAGTCTGGTACAGCATGCCATTAGCTGTGGTGAGGTAGTACACCCCATCTGGAAACAAAGTATTAAGAAAACATAGTTTCATTTTAAGAGGGTAGAAATATCCTGAATGTTGCCCGTTAAATAATTATGACTTGTGATTTGTGTGATTGCATTGTCCTCACCTTCATATTCACCATATCGGTCCTTGATCTCTTTACAGCTTCTTGCAATATAAGTGAATCTGTTCCTGAGTTTCTTCAGCTGTTCAAAGTCTTCTGTCTCACGTGTGGTTTCTGTGCATTTTTCTGAAAACAAAGTCAAGAAAATGTAAGAAAGTACACATGTAAAGCAATCTGGAGATTTGCAGTTGTGTGAAAAATATAATAGAAAACAATTTGGTCCTTTAAGTTAGGTTCATACTACTTCAGATAAACAACAACACATATTATAACATGTCTGTGTCGGAGTGTGGCTTGTGGCTCAGCTGCAGCGGAGGGGTGAAGCAATGGGTTCAGGGTGTGGTGTCAGTTGAGGCTGACTCACATACCTGACCTCCATCATCTGATCATGTCTCCCCTTTTGAGGATGTTGCCGGGACCAGGGAACGAGCCGTGTGTGGTGCTGAGCCAAGAAGGCAACTGGAAAGCTCAGCAGTGAAAAGCGCACAACATCTTTTTTCCCACATGGAAAAAAGTGACATGGTGTAAGATGTTTTGAGTTGTTGTTCATCTGAGGTTGTATTTACCTCATTTTAAGACCTGCTAAGGATCGATTATTTTTATTATGTCCTGATAGGTGATAAGTGTCAGATGGTGTATTTTCTTGTCGCTACGTGTATGTGTGCTGTATCACTGAAAGCTAATAGAAATAGTTGAAACGTTTTCATATTACCTATTTGTGAAGAAGTAAAATCTGCAAAGGATACTTGTTCCAAAAATACCAGACTCACAAAAAGCAAAATTATGCGATGTAACAT